AATAATACGTTCTGTGGTTATCTCCAAAGATGTTAGGAATTCCAGTGTTAAACCTTGACCAAGATAAGCATGAGATGCAATATGTAGTGATTAATAGTTTTCTATTTAAAGTTCAAAACTCCCCTGGAGACACCCTTTAGAAGCTTATCTAAATTACCTAAGAATACATAGATTTATAGTATAATTAGTTACACAGACAAGTTTTAAGAACGTAATCAGAGGGATATATACTGCAAAACCAACAGTAAATTTAATAAGATCCTAATATACAAGAAACACATTAGAATCCTATGTGATTTAATAAAAATGGAAAAAATAAATATAATATGTAATATTATTTTTAAATTCTCCTGCTGCCTAAGAAAAGATTTAACAATATATGTATATAACTCACATTTTAAAAGTTAAAAAGCATTAATGAACAGATTAAAGAAGACCTAAATAAACAAAGAGTCATACCATGTTCATTAAATGGAAGAATTAGTATTTTTATAATATGATTCTCCCAATTATATACATATTCCCCTCAGTCTCAATCAAATCTCAGCAGAATTTTTATAGAAATCAACAAGGTGATATCAAAAGTAAAATAAAATGGAATACAGCTAGACAAGGCAGAATTATTTTTAAAAATAATGTATTTGTATTTTATTGCTTCTGCAAAAGAATTCTATTATCTTATAAATTCAAACAACACTAAGTTTTTATCTTAAAATTCCAAATATCAAAAATATGCCATGTATATACTGAGTTAAAATTGAGATGTTGTAAGAGGTGCATCCCTTTCTGGAAGGTTGAGGGAAGAATCAATTTTCTTGTCATTTCCATTTCCAGAGACTTTCCCCTTTGTTTGGCTTATGTCCCCTTCCTCCATTTTCAAAGTCAGAAACATTGAACTTCTATCTGACCCTTTTCCACAGTAACATAACTCTTTTGCTTTCTCTCCCTCCTTCTCTCTTTCTTTCCACACATTATCGTGATTTCACCCAGATGATCCAGAATATTCTCCATATTTCAAGATCAAAGTAATATCTCTAAAGTCCATTTTACCATTTAAAGTAATGCATTTCAGATTCCAAGAATGAGAACATAGACATATTTAAGGAGGCCATTAGTTTGTCTACTACACTTAAGAACAAAGGTGGAGGGCTCATACATCAGTAAACAAGACAGAGTATATTGATATAAGAATAAATACATACATCAATTTAAAAAATAAAGGAATAAAAAGCCTATAAAAAACACAAAAACTGGGCTGGGGTTGTGGCTCAGCAGTAGAGCACTCGCTTAACAATCGAGACCCTGGGTTTAATCTTCAGCACCACAGATAAATAAATAAAATAAAGGTATTATGTCCAAATACAACTAAAAATAACAAATATTTTAAAAAATCACAAAACCTACATTTAACAATTTCTTGACAATTATGTAAATTTCTCATTGATCAAAAAACACAAATACCACTCTCCCTTACGTTGTATTGTTCAAAACTTATTTGTGTAGATATACCTAAATTGGAAGGAGCCTTTATTCTAGATGTTCATGTGCCTAGACAAAGTATGCAGATTCTGTTATAAGAAGGGGAAAATGGATATTTGGGGACATATAGGTATCTTTGGTACCAGTGAATAAATGCATATTCAATTAAAAAAAAAAACACAAGTTCTAAATTTTTTATTTTTTTAAGAATGACATCCATATAAAAATAAATTCCATTTCATAAAAAACATAACAGTATGTCAATCAACATATGAATATGAGATATAGAAATATTACTGGAAAAATATGGAAATTTGGGGGTAAATTTAGCGTTGGAAAAAATGAACTATATAAGATCAAAAAATAACTCACAAAAATGATTAATTTGGATTTCATAAAAAGTTAGAATATATGTTACTGGAAACAATCTCTTAGAACCTCAGAAGACAAATCACAAAATATGAGAAAATATGTATAGACATATATCTGATAATGGAATTGCATCCTAACTATATGAAGGACTATCACAATGGAATGATAAGATAACCTACACAATTTAAATGGGAAAAACATTGAAATTTACAAAAAAAGTATAACAATGTCCCTGCAGATATAATGTCTAAGCAAATATAATAGTGCTCACCATAAAGAGTCAACCAGGAAAATAAAATGAGGGCACAATGACATACCATTACATATATGCCAATGTGGCTAAAATTTTAAAATTGGCCATCCTATTTGTCAGTGAAGATGCAAGTCAATTGGAACTCTTATACATGGCCAATAGGAATGTATAAAATATTCCAATAATCCTGAAAATCAATATAGCAAATTCTTACAGATTTAGTCACGTACATATCATATGACTCAGTAATTTCAATTTTAGAAATGTATCCTAGATAAAGAGTAAAAATATGTCTATACAAAGATTTTCCTCAAATGTTCATAAAGAGTGCAACCAAAATTACCAAAACATGAAAATACCCCAAATGTTCATTAGTAGTGGAATAGAAAACCAAATACTCATCGACTTGTATAATGATATATGACTTCGTAATGAAAAAAATTAGTTGTTAATGCAAGAAACAACAGAAAAAAAATAACATTTTGCTGAAAAAAATAAAGCCAAATATAAATGAATATGCTGTGTAAATCTATTGATAACAAAGTTGTCAAAAGGCATACTAATCTGTAGTGACAGAAATAACATTGATTACCTATGTTGATGGTAATTGAGGGTAGACTCAGTGGATAAAGAACCAGAGAACTTTCTCATAATATTAGAACTATCTCAAACTTCATTATGTTTATGCTTATATAATTTATCAAAGTCTTTCACCTTCACACTAAATGCATGTTAATTTCTTTGTGTATACTTCATACCTAAATAAAGTTTGTCTTTTTAAAAAGTGAACCCTTAGAAATTGAAAAATGAGAAGGTGACCGGCAAGGGAGGAAGAAGGACCAGAGGAGGTAGTGGGGAATGAAACTGATTAAACTATCATGTGCAGGTATGAATATGTCACAACAAAGCCCATTAGTCTATTTATAAATACATACTAATATAATTTTTAAAATCAGCCCTTACAAATTAAATATGCAGTTTTTAAAACATTTTTAAATATAATTTAGTTATTGAAAGAAAAAAAGTCAAAGCAATCTGTCTACATAGAACATAAAAAGTGAAAAGATATAGAAATAAAAGTTATATGTTCAAAGCAGATTAACCCAAATAACAAACACTTCAGATAGAAAAAATATAGAAAAATAAGAATTAAGCAAAAACTGGTTCTGAAGAGAAAGTTAAAAACCATCAAATAAAAGCTCAATACAAATTTTAAGGAAATTAATAAAATAAACCTTGTAAAATTTAAAATTTCCAAAGATAAAAGAACATTCTTAGAGCTTAAACAAGTAATGGATAATCCTGTTACCTACAAAGAATAAAGTCAGAAAAACTCAAAGCCTCTCATTAGCAAAAATGTGTTTCAAAAGACCTAGATATGAAATACAGAATATATATGTAGAAATATATACGTAGAAATATACTTCATTTCTAAAAGGGAAAGGTCAATATCATTAAGCTGTGAATTATTTGTAAATTATTCTGCAGACCCAAGAGAACTGCAAACAAAATCTAAACAGGGTAATTAAAAGTATGTGGTATAAATTTAAAAGTTTAGAGAAGATCAAAGTGTCACCTCCCAAAGAAACTGATACAAAGAAGATTGGGGTGAAAAGTCATGATTAGATAGCGATACTTATTATGAATCTATAGTGATTAAGGTAGAAGATTACTAAAACACTATTTGCTAATGTTGCAAAATAAAATGCACAGTATTGTCAGTATCCATTTTTATGATATATGAAAAGGTACAATATTGGATTACTGGGGAAATATTGAATTTTCCCATACTGTTTTTAAAAGGAAATAATGTCATTATCATGCATAAAAATCACCTGCAAATGAATTAATAATATGAAGACAAGATATAAGTTTTAGAATAAAAAGTATGTCTACATTCTGAAGTATTACTATTAAAAACCCAAAAACATAAGCAATAAAATACAGTTAATTTTGTAGTGAAAGGAACAATATTATTCATAGTAAACATAAAAGAAAAATAAAAGCCACATAAATTAAGAACACATATGTAATACATATAATTGAAAAAAATGATATTTAGAATTACTAAGAATCCAACATCAAAGCTTCCAAAAAGATAATCTAAAAAAAAAACATCAAGCCGCATCTTAGAGATTACATGAACTGCCCATTCGCGCATAACAATGTATGCTAAATCCAATTATTAATAAAAGAAGCACATATCAACACTTCAGTGTTTTACCACTTTATTGCCATTTATCTAGTAAATATTAAAATACAACAACACTTAATCATTATCAAGAACGTAGAGCAAGAATTTAGCATTGACCAGAATGTATATTAGTACAAGCACTACAGAAAACCTAAAACAAAATACCCATTTCTGTAACATGTCCCAGAAATACTCAGAGACAAAGGGCAATACTGCAAAAATACCCCATCACTTCTTGACTGACATCTTTTACTCTCATTGTATTCATTTTTTATCTATAACATAATTTTTTAATAATTTTGAGTCAAATGATTAATTTCAAAGTATATGCATATGACTTAATTAAACAAAAAATATTGTATTCAAATTCTTTTTTAAATATATTTTCTAGTTGTATATGGACACAATACCTTTATTTATTATTCTTTATATGGTGCTTAGGATCAAACCCAGGGCTTCACACATGCAAGGCAGGTGCTCCACTACTGAGCTACAGCCCCAGCCCCTGTATTCAAATTCTTTACTATATTCTTGAATACTGTTTACTAAGGTGAACTTATTTTGCCACATACTTATCAATAAATTTTGATTTCCACTTTTACATGAAACATGGAAACAAATTTTTATAAATATTTTGCCCCAGTTTAATGTAGATGGGCCTTTAAAAAATCACGAGTATAGATATCAGAGCATTTTACTTACTAATCCGAATGCATTTGAGAGGAGGGGACCAGCCATTCTCTGTACATGTAACTGTGTTTTGACCATTTGAAAGACTATAGCCAGGATAACAATCAACTTTAACAGACTCATGCAGTAAATGTCTTGTTTCACGTGAGTAATATCCATATTCCACATAATTGAAAATGCATTGTCCTAAGGAGCATAAAGTGATAAAAAGTGAAAACATTAATTTGAACAAAATATTGGATTAAAAATTACCTTTATAATATTTAGAAAATGCATAAGCATCCGAAAAATGTGCAATTAAGAAAAACCCAAAACTACTATACCAAATGTTTGTTAAAAAATAAAAATCAATAACATTGAATTCATCTTTAATTTTGTAGCTAAAACATGTATAAATGATACAGGTTTTCTTGTAACTTTGGTTTTCATGTGATTTTTATGAAGAGCTTCTTATAAAAGACAAAAACTAATTGGGTCTTTTTGCACACACAATTCTTCCCTTGGCCCTAATTTGTCATGCAAGACTTAACTGTAAATACTTATGTGCTTCTTTCTTTCCTCTTTGAAAGATACATGTATCATTGTAAAGACATTTACTTACTGATGCATGGTACTTCTGGCAGCCACCCTTCTTTTGTGCAATAAATGTAACCCCAGTATGATTTTGAAGGAGACACAAAATTGTTATCACATTCATAGGTATATCGTTGTCCTATAGGTACTGGAAAGTATGGTCTATATCTTTCTTCATAGTATAGACGTCCATGTTTTATCTCTGGAAAATCACAAGGTTTCACTTGTGATAAAAAAATAAGATGAATAATATTTTATTTTATTGAGCAACATATCAGAAATAAACCATTTAAGTAATGAATTATGTCTTATTATTAACATAATTACAGGTTTTCAAGAAAAGATAAGTCACAGAAATCAGATGATTATGCTCTGTGAGGTCTTTGTTAGTGAAGTCAAATGATATCTTTTCAGTCACCAGAGAAATCAACTAGAAAAATTTGTTAGTATCAAAATAGATAAGGTTATAATAAACAATAGTTTTATTCTAGTTTCAGTTGGGAAATGAGATATTTTTAATGTGCTAAAATGTTTTTCAATGAGGTATAATATGATTATATCTTATTGACTTATTCTTATATATTAAGTAATTTAACACAAATTTAAGTGCTGTTATTTATTTTGTCAGGTTTATTTTTATTTTCTTGAAAAAGTACTCTTTCATGAGATTGTTTAGAGAAAACCTAGTCCTTTTACTATACAAATACTATTAATTTTTTCCATGTAATATGATTCTATTTCAAGAAATCTTGCATGATATGTTATAAAGAATCCCCTCATCGCCTTCATGTATACACACATACAATAAATATACTACAACGTCAATTAATTTTTCCACTTTCCTTTATGTTTGATTGCAGACCATTTTCAAAATGTTTCTACTCTTAAAAATGGTAATTCGCATTATACACTTTGAATTTTTGCTCATCTTTTGTATTAGAACATCATAAATATTGGGTTCATTTTGACAATCAAATATGCAAGAAATTTTATTTCAAGCCCCATCCAACCTTTTCCTCCCTTCTTCTCCCTCATGTTCCCTCCTCTTCTCTACTAAAATTTCATTCTATTACACATGCAAAAGGGAAATTTCCTTTGGGATGTTTATATATGAATATGACATGATTTGGTTAAATTCATGCCATTTATCTTCCTCTTTCTCTTCCTTCTTCCCTCTCATTCTCCAATAGCTACTACCACTGATCTTCCCTATATCTTTATGATATCTGATCCCCACTCCCACTGCCTTCTTTCCCTAAATTTACTAAAACTTCCTCATATGAGAGAAAACTTTCAACCTTTGAGTTTCCAAGTCTGGTTTATTTCATTTAGCATGATTTTTCTTCATTTCCATACATTCATCAGCAAATGTCATTATTTCACTCTTATGGCTGAGTTAACTCTTTTGTATGTATGTACCACATTTTACTAATACATTTCTAATCCTTATTGATGGGCTTCTGGGTAGAATCCATAATTTGGGAATTATGCTGCTGTAAATACTGAAGTGGCTGAATCACAATAGGATGCTGATTTTTAGGCCTTTTGGAAAAACATTGAGAGTGGGATAGCTGGGTCATATGGCAGTTTAAATCCTAGTTTTTGTTTTGTTTTGTTTTGTTTTTGAGGAATCTCCCCATGGTTTCCAGAGTGATTGATCTAATTTGCAGTCCAATCAATAATGCAGAAGTGCACCTTTTGCTCAAAATCCTTACCAGCATTTATTATTATTCATGATATTAATAATTATTGATTCCTTTCAAGTGTACTTTCTTGGTCTACAGTCCATATCTCTTGGTGTAGTTTTGATTTGCATTTCCCTAATTGCTAGAGATGCTGAACATTTTTCCATATATTTGTTGACCATTTGTGTTTCTTTTTTGTTATTCATTTTTATTAGTTGTTATACATGACAGCAGAAAGCTTTTTGATTCATTGTACATAAACGGAGCAGAATTTTTCACTTCTCTGATTGTACATGACGTAAAGTCACACCATTCATATATGTATCTATCTTTTCTACCCCCATATCCCCTCCCCCCTTCCCTTTGCCCATTCCAAAGTTCCTCCACTCACCCCATCCACCACCCCATTATGGATTAGCATGCACTTATCAGAGAACACATTCAGCACCTGTTTTGGGGGATTGGCTTATTTCGCTTAGCATGATGGGTTTCTTCTTTTAAGAAGTTTCTGTTTAGTTCTTTTGGCCATTTATCGATTGGCCTATTTCTATTTGTTTGCTTGTTTGAGTTTGTTTGCTTTTGGATTTGAGGTTTTTTTTAGTTCTTTATATATTCTGGATATTATTCCCTTGTCAGAGGAGTAACTGACAAATATTTTCTCCCATTCCAGAGGCTCTCTCTTCAACTCTCTTCATCATTTTCTTTGCTGGACAGGATCTTTTTTTAATTTAATGGCATCCCACTTACTGATTCTTAGCTTTATTTTGTGAGCTTTAGGTGTCTCATTCAGAAAGTCAGTGCCTGCACCGATATGATGGAATGTTGATCCTATGTTTTCTTCTAATTTTGGCTCTGACCTTCTACTGATTTTGTAATTAAGATCTTGAAGTGTAACATAAGCTTATTTATTTGGTCTCTCTCTATATTTTTAATGTAGATACTCAATGACATAAATTTTACTCTTAGTACTGCTTTCATACTATCTCAGAGATTTAATATACCTTGGTTTCATTTGTTTCTAAATATTTTTTATTTCTTCCCTCAATTATTCTTTGATCCATCCTTCTTAAAAGGATATTGTTTAAACTCCACATGTTTATGTGATTTCTGCTATTTTTCTTGCTTTTGATTTCTAGTTTCATTTTAGTATGTTCTAATAGGATGCATGGGATTATATCAATTTTCTTTGTGTATTTGCTTAGACGTACATTTTGACATGGAACACGGTCTGTTTTGGAGAAGGTTCCATGAACTGCTGGGAAAAAGAATAAATTGAGTTTGAATACATACAGTTTGGATATATCATTATTTATTTTATGTTTTGATGACCTGTCTATTAGTGATAAGGATGTATTGAAATCTTCCAGTATTACTGTATTGGGATATATCTGGGATTTAATGTCAGGAAGTATTTTTTTATTATTTTTTAGTTCTTAATAGACCTTTATTTTATTTATTTATATGAGGTGTTGAGAATCGAATCCAGTACCTCACACATGCCAGGCAAGTGCACTACTGCTGAGCCACAGACACAGCCCCTTAAGAAGTATTTTTTAATGTAATATGTTGACATTTGGGGCATATATATTAACTATTATTATTTCTTCTTGTTAGGTTGTTTCCTTTACTAGGATATAATGGCTCTCTTTTTCTCTTCGGATTAATTCTTGCTTGAAATCTGCTTTGTCAGATATGAAGAATGGCTACTCCAGCTTGTTTTCAGAGTTCATTTGCATGAAGAAAATTCTTTTCAATCCTTCTGCCTTCAGTCTGCAAGTGCCTTTACCTATGAAATGAATCTCTTGCAAACAGAATTTGGTTGGATCTTATTTTTGGATCCATTCTGCTAGTCTATGTCTTTAAATGAGTGAGTTAAGGCTATTTATTTTCAGTGTTATTATGGATATATTATTTGGATTTTGGATTATATATTTTGAATTCTTGCTCAACCTAAATGTCTTTTTTTTTTAAACAAAGGTGAGAAAATGATTTCTTCTAAGTACACTTTATTGGTCTACAGTCCATATCTCTTATCATTGACAAATACTTCCTCAACTTTATGAAGCTTCCAGTGGTATAATTAAAGTGCTTTTTAGCATTAAGTCTTGTTCCTTTTAGGTAACATTCACTTTTTCCCCTATAATTTTTTTTTAAGATTTTGATATTTTATATTAACCCGTGGGTTTTAGAAATTACATCATGATCTGTCCAAACCTGTATTATTCAACAAGAACTGTGCCTTGGACATGCTTAAGTCTTTTGAGTTGCAAGAAGTGAGATTTTAAGATTAATCAATTAAATTTCCCATTTGTCGATAAGAGATTTGAAACCTGGTGGTTGCAGAACAAATGTGTTTATTCACCTCCTTATCCTGTCTCATGGAACATCAATAAAATAAATTAGTTCACTCTGATGTCTTTTCAAAATGCACAAAAAGCAGAGAATTGACAGGTATAATTATTATGATAGGCCAGAGGCACTTGTCTATATTCTTCACACTCATGTGTGCACATCTAAACCTCATTAAAAGGGTGTACCTTGAAGCAAATATAATATTCCACTAAGGACTGATCAGCAGAGATGGGTGGTTCTCACAACAGCCTCATTCTACTACTTAGAAAATCCGCCTGCTTATACTTTCACTAAATGTAGCTCATAGTCTCATTACCAGCTATAGTTGTTCCATCCTAGTGTTGAGTCAAACTGATCTTAAAATTGAATAAATATTCACTAATTTTCATAACTGTTGCTAATCCATCTGTCCTAGGGATGCTTATTTATTTGACTCAAGCCCAGGATTTTAGAGTTACCATTGAAGAAGTTTATCCTATTTGATTCAATTTGACATGTAGGATTTTCTTTGAATGATATGTCCTAGTGTAGATTCACTAACATCATCCTTTGTGTCATTCAAGTTGTGAATTTATACTACATTTTCCCTGAGCCATTGAATACTTTGATGTCACCAATGAGTAATGGAGTTGTCCTGAGAAGAAAGTCCTCTTGCTTGATTATCAGATAAGATTATTTAATGAAATTGCAAAGAGATAAACCATCTAACTGGTCAATTTCATTGTTTTATCCATAAGAACCTGTGAAAGGCAGGTTCAGATATATTTGAACAAATCCATATTGTCAAAGTCAACTATAAAATCACTAAACATTGACCTTATAGTTCTTATGCACTTTGAAATTTGTTTCACAGTTATAAAAGCTTTCTCTGTTAGTGACTGAAATTTTGCCTAGAACTAACATTGAACTCATTGACCAATCATTCGTATCATCACATTTTTGTTTAAGTGTGATACACCTTTAAAATGTACTGCTAGATAGAAAAAAAAGGAATATGACTATGGAGACAAACTAAAACTTGAAGAGGGCCAAGAAAGCATTCCATAAATAAAATAGTCTTGACCTGAGTGGAATTTTGCCACATGTAAGATTTGTAGGAAACTACATAAGTCCTTTAGCACTCCTCCCTCACAATAAGGGAGCTTTATTTTTCTTCTTTTGGGGGCATGTTGGACTTAGTGTCTCATTTCTGAAGAACAGATGTGGTGGTAGCAAGAGTATGTGAGTAGATCCTAAGTGGTATTCAGGCCTCCACTCACTCAGATCAGTAGCTCTGGAGAAAGTTAGCTGTCATTCAGGTAACCTAAGGAGAGGCCCATGTGGTCAGGAGCTGAGGCCTCCTGCCAAAATCTATGTGAGTGAACCGTGTGGGAAACAGATCCTGCAGAACAGTCTATTACACTGATGTACTGACTGCACCACAAGAAGAAACTGACTCAGAACTACTGACTCATTTCCGAATTCTTGACCCGCAGTCACAATGAGACAACAAATATTTGGTATTAAACAAATATGTTTGGGGGGGAATTTTTTTAATTTTATTTTTTAGTTGTAGTTGGACTCAATACCTTGATTTTATTTACTTATTTTCATGAGGTGCTGAGGATTGGACCCAGGGCCTTGCACATACTAGGCGAGCTCTCTACCACTGAGCCACAACCCTAGCCCAGTAAATTTGTTTCAATGAAACAAATAACTAACATATTATCTGTTAGAAGGTAGTATTTTTACCCAATGTTTTATTCACATACTGGAAGAATTTTATTAATTAGAGAAATACATATATATATATATATATATATATATATATATATATACACACACATACACATACACACATTTTTTTTGAATTGCAAGAAACTGTTTTTAATTTACTAAGATGTGATATTCATACTAAGAGATGTAAAGAATGCTTTTAAAGGCTCTATGTACATATTATGTACATAAACATAGAAAACTATTTGGTCTTGTCACTGTGTGTGTGTGTGTGTGTGTGTGTGTGAGTGTGTTTAGTAGAAAAATCAATTCAGAATTACAAAGTAGCTCAAGATATAAATGGAACTTACAGCTACATCTTGGAGGAGGTATCCAGCCACTACTTGTACATTTTGCAGTATTTCCCCTGGTTGCAGGATAAAAACCACTTTTACATTCATATCTGATTTCATCTCCAGTTCTGTGCTTAATCCTTTGAGGTGAGTAAACACCATTTGGAATATAAGGAGGATTACATGTTACTTCTGGGGAAAAAAAATAGGATGTGTGAATAGTGTGGAAATCAGTACTCATTAAAATTAAGTATAAGAAAGTAAGACTATAGGTAATATTTATTTGTCCCTAGAGGAGCACAAAATGACATTAAAATAAACATATCCTCACATATCACTATATATATATCCTCATATATCACTCCTGTTTAACTTACTGTGGTTTTTACCAATATATTTGTGATATCATGAAGTATGTGATAGCTTTGTCTAAAGCTTTCACATACTTCATGATACTCCTTGTCTGGCAATGACTTCATCATGATCATGTATAAATATTTCAAATATTTCTTCCACTTTCTTCTATTTCTTTGGACACTGTTGCTCTCATAAGGATTGTTTACAAAAATATACATAGACTCTTCTTTCCACACAACTGGTAGGAAATCACATCCATTCTTTGAATTAAATATGGCCATATGACTTAGATAGTTCAATGTAATGAAAATAAAACAGAAGGGAGTTTTAAAAGACATTGTGTGAATTTTCATGTTCTCATTCCCACATCTGCATTAACTGAAGAAGAACATTGGAAAGATGATGCCTTTTGTCACCTGATTCTTAGAACTAGTTTACCATATTTCACTGCATTACCATTGCCACTGTTACAGGATTCTTCCACAGAGAGACCAGGAACCGGGGCATTCAGCAGGAAGCAGAGCATATTAGTGTTGGCACTGGTCCTATTCAAAGGCTGAGGTCCCAAAGCAGATGTTGCCTTATATATCTCTTGTTAGTTCCTCTTTATTTGCTAGCTCTTTTTCTCCCATATAAGGTAATATACATTATATACATTCTAATTGGGCATTATATTTTATACTATAGATTTGCAACAATATTACAACAGAGTTGTGGAATGTGCATGGTGATTTTGTGGGTGTCATGTTACCTTTCCTTTGTTCTGAGAAAGTCCCTACCATACCACTGCATTAACATATGTTCATGAGTATTCCATGTGTTCTAATCTTGCACCAAGACAATTTAGTAATGAAAATTTTCAAGTATTACCTGCACAATTTAAAAAACAATGTTTCATATGTGAAACATTTAGTAGCATTTCACTTTTTGGCAAAAAAAAAAAAGGCATAAAGTCTGCAATGATTTTTCAGTAAAATACTGTGTGGAGACCCTTCTGAACTGTATTAGAAGTGAGCACAAACCAGAAACAAAGTGTAGTTTGTTAAGACATTGATATACTGCAATCTATTTTTTGGAAAACCTTTTTTGTAAGGGGTCTCATTTGCAACTACTTAGGTGTGGCAATATAATATAAAAGTAACCATACCCAATTTGTAAATAAATGGATGTTGTTGTGTTGCAATACAGCTTTCTTTTCAAAAGGGAAGCAAGCTTGATTTGACCTGTGAGCAAGTTTGTCTTCCTTTGATCTAGTCTCTTCTCACATATAAAGCTCTTTCTTGTTCCTTGCATCAATTCTGCTATATCCCAATAATGGATCAATTTACAATATTCTTTTTCTTATAAAGTGCTATACATTTTAAGTATAGTAGAAAAGTTATATAAATGTCTGTATTGATGCCATATTGTAATTTGGCCTAAAAACATGTGGTGGATATTCATCATTACTTATAATCCTTTATATGCTCATAATTCATCTCTTATTTCATTAAAATAATCCTTTATATGCTCATAATTTACCTCTTATTTCATTTTCCAATATAAGTTACTAATTGTTAATACACTCTCTTCAAGCCACCTAACCCAATTGCTCTTTTATCAACAAATAATAAGTCTTTGAACTTTAGTTTACATTTCTTTACTTATGTTTTACTTCATGGTATAACTAAATTTAATACCAATTTTTTTTAATCCAAAAGTTACAAGTTACAAAAAACAAAAGTTTAAGAGAATGATCAAAGTGTATCGGGTAATTTTGTTAAAACATTCGAGAATGGAAACACTTCTGAAGATTAATCTCAAACTGTAGACATGAATTCATTGATGAAACTTAATTCTTGCCTTTTTAAATCTTTCTTAAAATAAACAATTTAAAAATTTCCTATCTATTGCTATCTAAAATAATAATATTCAAGACTATCCAAATGTATGTGGTCCCTTTTTCTCACTACCAGATACATTTGAAGTAAGAATAATAATGCATGATTAGCACCATATGTTGTAAATCAATTTTTAAAAGTTTATGAGGAAAAAAGATGAAATTGGATCAAAAGTGACTTTTAATCAATTCATTTTGGCATGTTTAATTATTCCTGTAAATGACTTATTGTAGGCTGTCCTCTATTGGACAGAGAGAACCAAAGTTTTGACAACTCTGTCAAAACCCTTGGCATCTATATGCCGTGGAAGAGATGGAAAGCAATTCAATTATTTTCTCCTCAACCATTTTAAATTTTGCTTTATTACTCAATTTCTGAGCTTTGAGTTACACAATTTTAGAGAAATTAAGATTTCTGGGTCAGGAGTTCATCATATGTCAACAGGTCAATTCTTGCATTGTGCCAGGAAAACAAAGAGAAGTATTTGTAATATATTAGCTGAGGTACAGAAGGTAGAGTCCTTTTATTAACAAGAAACTCTTCTACATCTAGTCAATGTAAAGTATATTTAAATAAAATGAAACACATTTTGAAACAATGTACATGCTTATCCAATTTGGGGTAAATCTCTCTTTATTGTTATCAAAGTTTAATAAAATAACTTGTGATCAGCCAAATCCCATTTAATGTGGATTTAACATGGATTATTATTGTCTTATATTCATTAATTATTTTCTAAAATATTTTGTTAATGATGCCTAAAAATAGAGATCACTCTATTGTGAAGAAAGAAACATTTTCCATGGAACTGTTTGTAAACTGAAGCAAAATAAAATGTTTAATTATAAAATCAATTCAAAATTAACTGTACTTTTATAAAATATAACTAAAACAAGATTTAAGCATGTAATTACATACCACAGATGTAAAGTTCCGAGGGTTCCTAGGAGTTAACTCTCCTTACTTCCCAGTATGGTAAAATCTGTGAAAATCACTGGACCTATCAATGGTCCTTGTTTCCCTCACTGCAACAGTTCTCATCAAAAAGCTACCTCACTTCTTTTCAGAAATGCCTGCAAATATCTGAGGACAGGAATTACTACAATATAGCTATGTCTTCTTGCTATTCTTTTTATGGTTATGATTTCTTAAACTCTTCAATCATCTATATTCTCTCTTCTAGGTCATGATCGTTGGAAGACATCCCTTTAAAAGGAGGTAGGCAAAAAAGAACACAATCTTCAGATATACTTCTTGTGGGGAAAAGCACTCTGCCTCTCTGCATGACATCCTTCCATGAAGAAGCTGAGAGTTAGGATTTCTTTTTCAGCACCATCATCACTGTTGTTCCAAATTAAACCCATTGCTCATGAAAACCTCCACTTTCTGGATCCCTTTAATTCCATTGTCAATAGAGATTTACCTCATCTGATGTTAACATAATTTACTCTTTAGAGCCAAATTCTAGGCTTTAGAAGAGCAATTTATGTATTTGAGAATTGCAGATTATTGAAATTGGAAAGCCTATGACAGTCCTGGCTCTGCTCCTGAAATGGTTTATCACCAGGGACTAACTACTTAAGAGTGTATTTAAGCCTCTGGTCCTATTTATTTTTATCTTGAGAGAATATCATACAAAGTACTATCAAAAGGACTTTGCACACTTAATACTTACAAATTTAATACTCTGTTTTTGAGAAAAATAGATTGCTTACATAAAATGATTATATTTATTAAAATAATTGTTGGGGTTGTAGCTCATTGAATGGTAGAATCCTTTCCTAGCAGACAAAAGGTCCTGGGCCCAATCTCACTTATCACAAAAAATAAATAATAAATAAATAAATAAGTGATAAAATTCTTTTGGAATTGGATACCAAGAATTGAACTCAAGGGCACTTGATCACTGAGCCACATCTCCATCCCCCTTTTCTATTTTATTTAGAGACAGGGTCTCACTGAGTTGCTTAGCACCTTACTGTTGCTGAGGCTGGCTTTGAACTGGTGATATGCTGCCTCAGCCTCCTGAGCTCTGGGATTACAGATGTGCACCACCATGTCCAGTCTGATAAAATTCTTAACAAAAGAGACAGAAAATAAAAATAACCTTACCTTCACATGAGGGAGTTGGACTCCATCCTGAACTAGTGCATATAGCACTGCCTTTTTCACTGTATTCAAAACCTTGATTACATTTATATTGAAATCTTTCATTCTCCTTATAAATTTTCTTCGGAGATATAGAATATCCATTTCTAATTTCTGGCGATGTGCAGGAAATTGCTAAATACAAGGGATTAAATTCTAAAATGTTATTACGATCTAAAAGACTATAACCAAGTTGTGTTTACATAAAAATAGAAATTTTGTTTCCATTAGGTAAATCAGCCAACCAAACAAAAGTTCTCTTTTGGCTTGACTGTCTGATTTATCTGTTATTCTTAACATCAGTTGTTATCATCTGTAGCTCTTCATTTTTGCCAGAAGCTAAAATTCTGAGTAAAATTCTGTTTCAACTTTAGTTTAAGGGTAAATTAGTCCTTTGGCAGTAATTGATAGTAATATTCACCAAATGTACATGTGATATTGAATATAGATTTACTGTGATTAGTATTTTCTCCAAGTGACCTGTAAAAATAAAACATTTTCTCGTTATTGATTAGAGTACTTATTCAACAGAATCTTTTTCAAGGAAATTTATTCAACTCATTTTTCATTACATCTTTGAAAAGTAACTGAGTTCTGCTTTTGTGTCTTCACCGTCTATACAGGTTTTCTGTCAAAAACAAAATCACAATAAAACAAACACACAAATAATAACAACAGAAAACTGCCCATCATCTTTGACACCACTTCTCTCAAACATTTTTCCCTGAGATAGTGACAATGATAACTGTTTTCCCAAATCCTCTTCTTCCATCTTCCTAATCTGTTTTTCTTGGGTTTAACTACAAAAACTTCCAAATGGTCACTTAATTCCTCCGCTTGAAATCCTTCACCAGTTCCAAAATCAGTCTACATTAAAGCTAAGTTCTTAAGAATGGTGCATTCGCTTCTCAGTACCTTGTACTGGCTTATCTTCAGTTCATCACTGATTTATCACCTGACTGCATCCTATGCAAGGCCCCTGTGGACAGTGAACAAGGAACAATAGGACTTCACACTTATTGAAGCCTCACTGCCTTTCTATGTTCCTCTTCTGACCTTCCTGGGACTGGCATGCTTTTGCCTTCTTCATGGTCACCTAAAAACAGCCCTCTCTTCCTGTAAGACTTTCCTTAAGCATCTGCAATTCCAGGAAGGTTCTGCTAGTCATGACATCTAGCGTTGATCATAGAAATCCCATATATGAACCTCTAAAGTATTTAACTTACCATTATTATCACAGAGAACTATTTCTGTTAGAATACTTAAGAATTTATTTATTTATTTACTTACTTACTGTAAGGTAGACTAGATAAAAAATGTGAATAAATCAGAGATTTTAGATAACAAATAAATATGGCAGAAACTTCTTCCCCAAAAAATAGGTTAAATGAAGTATGGTACTATTAAACTAATTGGCCATAATGTTTAACTTAAAAGCCAAAATCATTGATGAATCAAGATATACAAATCAGCTATATTGTGACAAAATAAATAGAAGAAATCATGTAAAATTGACTTAGAAATTTTTCTAAAAGAAAATCATTTATTTGGTGGATTCAACTATGTTCAGCAGTTTATACTTAACTTTCAGTACAAATATGAAAGAAGATCATTTCTTAGAAATAAGTTATCAAAGATGAGTTATTCAAACATATAATGCTATCATGATGCATCAGTGGAAACAAATAATAAATGTTTGGCATCCAGAATTAAGAATAGACTTTTCTGGAGATCATCCCAGAAAGGGTGAGCATTCTCTTTCAACCTGTAAGAGCCAACTACAGCCAGGAGTGGTGTTACACGCTGTAATCCCAGCAGCATAGGCTGAGGCAGAATTTCCAGTTCAAAGCCAGCTTCAGGAACAGCAAGACACTAAGCAACTCAATGAGACCCTGTCTCTAAATAAATACAAAAAAGGGTGAGTGATATGGCTCAATGATTGAGTGCCCCTGAGTTCAATCCCTGGTACCCACCACCCTGAAAAAAGAGCCAACAACAATATGTTTATAGTTAGCGCATGAATTTGATGTCAGACGATAACCTAGGCTTAAATCTAGACTCCCTATGCTACGGTAATCTAGGCTGCATGATTTGATTTTTGTTGTGGTTTACATGTGAAGTAACACCCAAAAGCTCATGTGTGAGACAATGCAAGAAGATTTAGAGGTGAAATGATTGGGTTATGAGAACCTTAACCCTATCAGTGCATTAATCCTCTGATAGAAATTGACTGAGTGGTAACTGAAAGTAGGTAGGGTGTGGCTGGAAGAGGTAGGTCACTGAGGGTGTACCTTTGGGGTATGCATTTTGTATGTTGTGAGGAGAGTATCTCTCTCTCCCTCCCTCTCTCTCTCTCTCTCTCTCTCTCTCTCTCTCTTTCTCATTCCTGATCATCATGTCCTGAGCTACTTTCCATCACTTCATTATTTCCCCATCATGTCCCTTGAGCCCCAGGGAATGGAGCTGGCTATCCATGGACTGAGACCTCTGAACCTGAGAGACCTCAAACTTTTCCTCCTCAAATTGTTCTTGTTAGTTTTTTTGATCAAGCAACCAAGAAGCTGACTAAAACAATTTTGCACCCAAATTTCTTCAATTATAGAGATGATACTAGTACATAAATCATAAAACTGTTTTGTAGGTAGAAAATAAAATAACTTATATAGAAAACTAAGATCAACTACAGGGATATTGTACATGCTTAATAAACATTCGATTTTTAAGAATTATTTATATTCATTATTATGTACAATGTTTTCAAATATATATTTTCATAAGAAAAACTAAGAACAATCAAGCAAGCAGTTAAATACATCTTACCCATACATCTTGGTTTTTCATTACTCCAATGACCATCTTCTGAACAATATATTTCTTTCTGTCCTTCAAGTTTGAAGCCTGAATTACACTCAAACTGCACTGCTTGTCCAAAATAATATTCCTCATCTGGTTCTGTCGCACTACTGATAATTCTCCCGTTCTCTGGTTCTGTCACTGGCAAACACTTAACAACTGAAAAAAACAAAAAATAATTTTTTTCTAGTAGAATTTGAAAACTTCATAATGAAACTGTGTGTGTGCATGTGTGTCTGTTTGTGTGTGTGTGTGTGTGTAAAATCATCAGAAAGATAAAATAGAGAAAATTACTTAGATATTTTTAGAAGCATTTGATACACCTGTTTGCAAAAGATAAAAACTAGGTAACATTAAAATTACTGTTTATCTCTGATTCTTTTCTGTGGAAGTGAACAAACAACTACTACATTGAATGGTAGTTTGCATTTTTATGGTAACAAGTAGCTCAAATTATTAAGAAATATAAGTTTAGAATGACTAAATTCAAAATTTCCATTTATGCCCTGAAATAATATAAACCAGCATTCTAAAAGATAAAAAGTAAACATAATATTTATTTCAATAGAAAAAATGTTCTTGAATTTCCTTCCTTTTCTACCTCAGTGTTCAAAATAACTTGAGTACTTATTGTGATTTTACTTAATATTTTCAAATTTCCAAGGTTATGGAAGTCAAACATTTTTACTGAAGAAGGACCCTAGATTCTTCTTATAGTGAAAATTCTACAGTGCTTCTCTCTCATCCCAAAGATACTGATTCATAGGCCTTTTTTCCGTAACCCAAACCTCAGTTTTAACAAGGATTCTAAGGGATTTTGATTTATTTATTTATTCTCTCTCTTTCTTATTTATCTATTTATTTATTTTTGAGGTAGTGGAAATAAAACCCAGGTCCTCATGCATGCTTAATAAACACACTACCACTGAGCTATAATCTCAACTCCGATATTTGATATATCGAAACACAAAATATGTAGTAATAAATTGACTTGTCAGGCGTGTTTGGTACACATCTATAATCCCAGTGACTTGGGAGGCTGAGGCAGGAGGATCACAAATTCAAAGCCAACCTCAGAAACTTAGTGAGGCCCTAAGCAATTTTGCAAGACCCTGTCTCTTAATAAAATCCAAAAAAGACTGGAAACGTGGCTCAGTGATTGAGCACTCCTGAGTTCATTCCCTGGTACCAAAAATAAATTTACACATAAAAAATAAAACTGAATGACTAGATACATTGCTGCACTGGACAAGCAAGAATGCAGAAAGAACAACTTTCAGATTTTTCAAAAATTTCTTAAAACCACCTACCTGTAGGATAACAAACTAGATATCCACATTGGATATCCAGTTAAGTGGTTGGTATTCAGCAAGGGAAGTAACTGCACTGTATTATAAACCAAAAAAATAATTTAAATAAAAAATATTTAATTATAAACTTAAGGACGTTTTGATGTCAAACATTTTGAAAAAGCTTAAATAGTTTAGCTATCTTGACAGATTGTAAATGAATTTTATATTACCTTCACATATCGGAATATCATTTGTCCATCCTTCTGCATCACATTGACGGAAATTATTCTCACCTAACATTCTATACCTAAAAACAAAACAAAACAAAAAAACAGACTGGCAAGAGATTATGTATTTGCATGCAGTTTTTAGCTTAATCCTATTCTGAATGTCTCTCAAAAACTCCTTTTTATGGAAAATTAGCAACTAATACATTTCCTTCCTGCTTTTTCTCTTCCTTTGTTTTACCTTCCCTACTATCCTTTCTCCCTTCCTACCATCATTTGATCTTTGCTTCCTTCCTTCCTGTCTTAAATATTTTTCTCTCCCCCTCTCTGTTTTTCTTTGAAAGAACTGCAGACTCACTAAACAATTTTCATGGGCCATTGTTTTCTTCATTTGTAAATAAGGATTGTTCTGCTCATTATACAAGTAAAATAAATGTTCTTCCTCAAAAAAAGGAAAATGTTTTTATTTGTTACTAATTCTGTAAGGAAAGAAAACATTTTCATAAACCAAGTTTTAGTCACAGAGCCAAGCATTTATTCTATGTATCATGTAAAGGAAACAAAATAATTGACTACTAAGATAATCCTGTAACTTCTCTACTAGCTAGAATGCACCCTCTTAACAGAGAAAGCAGACCAGAGATCCATTTGTTTCCCAAAGATGTTTCAGATATTCTGCAACATTCTGCAAAAGCCTCCCATGGCCCAAATATTTGGAGGGAGGAGGGGAGGAAAAAGAGCAAAGTTGCCTATTTGACAGTGATTGGCAAAAAACAGTAGCTCACAATACTCAAACCCAGACAAGCAGAATAATAATAAAAAAAATTTTTTTTAAGTTTTTCAAAACTGCCTTCCTGTAGAATTATAAAACTAGATATCTGCATTGAATATCCAATTAAATGGTTAGTATTCACCAAGGGAAATAACTACAGACAAAAGATCAAAAAGGGTTAGTTGACTGACAGAAACCAAGGGGTTAAAAAAAATCTACTTCACTGGGCTGGGGCTGTAGCTCAGTGGCAAAGTGCTTGCCTTGCACATCTCTGAGGCACTGGGTTCAATCCTTAGCACCACATAAAAATAAACAAATAAAATAAAGGCATGCTGTCCACTTACAAATACAAAAAAAAAAATTAAAAATCTATTTCACCATCTACAACTGGGTCAAAAGCTTTACATCTCCTTGAAAATAAATTTAAGAATTAAATTTATTTTAAATAAAAAAAAATTAAAATAACATAAATTACTTCTGTTTGCTGGATGATCTGAACACTTAATTTCACTGATAAATATCAGTGATTTCACTGACAAAATTCTGTTGGATACTAAGAGAAGAGCAGGAACTCTCACAGTGAGGCTATAGCAGAGTTACCCCTAGTTGACAGAGTGAGGTAAAGAGAGCCAGAATCAGAGGCAAGTCTGTAGTTAATTTCTTCAACAAGTTGTAAATATGAATTGTTACAATTGAGGAAATCAAGTAAAAGAAATTTATGGATTTTGATTCCTTTCCAAGTCATTGTTGGAACCTAAAAGGAAGACTTTTCCAGAAATAAAGTGATATTTCAGAGGTAAAGCAAATCGAAAAGTTCAGGCCCAGATTGGCTTAATCTACTTGGTTACATATGAAGACAACAGTAGTAATGATTGAGAGTTGGACTGAAAATGTATTTCAAAAACTTCCTCTGAAGAGACAAAACTATTAAGAACTGATACTTATTGGGCATTTGAAATATCCCAGGATCCCTTTTTTTTTTTTTTTTTTTTTTTTTTTTAAAGAGAGAGTGAGAGAGATAGAGGTAGAGAGAGAGAGAATTTTTTAATATTTATTTATTTTTTTTTAGTATTTGGCAGACACAACATCTTTGTTTGTATGTGGTGCTGAGGATCGAACCCGGGCCGCACGCATGCCAGGCGAGCGCGCTACCACTTGAGCCACATCCCCAGCCCCCCCAGGATCCCTTTTAAGAGCTTCAAGTATGAGTCTTATTTCTTTCTCTCACTAATCCCATGATGCACATGATATGTGTTCACTTTAAAAAGAGAGCAAAATACAAGTGAAGACCTATTTATACACACAGATACTGAGAGTTTAAGGTTTGAAATGTGGATTTAGTGTGAAGTCTGACCTTTAAACTATTACATTTTCTTGCTCCAAATCGAGAAATGTATAAGGGGAGAATAATGATTTGATTTATAATCTCTTGATACTTCCTGTTCAATATAAGATTACAGTGATCTGATCATGGCTTTCTAATGTACAAAATTTTCTGCAAAATAAGTTTTGTCCTAGAGAGGAAAAATAGATAAGAACAAATACTAAGGAGGTACTGTGATGAGAGCAGTCAGGAAACCTAATTGGTTGGTTAGAAGGCATAAAATCAATGATTCTGAAAGAGTAGTATTTTTGATATGAATGATAAGAATTTTTTAAACATGGAAATTTAAATAATAGCATTTATAAGTAAAACTTACAACCAAAGACTTGCTTCTTCTTAAATTTTATAAATTTATAATTTTATTGTATGTCCAATTATCCCCAACATAAATGACCCAAAATACCCTGCAAATAGTACAATGTAGAAAAGATGCCTTGGGTGAACACTTACTTACATGCAAACTGTTTTTCCATATACTTATAATAATACTATCCAGAGTAATTACAGCTTGAATTTCTTAATGTTAAGAAGACAGTATGATATACACATATAATAATTTATATTGTACCATAATTTTCAAGTTATTTGTGTATATAAATTAGTACAGTTCCTCTTCAGTATTTGAGTTATAAACCTTTTTAATATTGACTACGTACCCCTCATCACATTTATAAACAACTTTTGCACCATATACAAATTCATTTCCTCCTTCAAGATGAAAAGAACCAAATGGAGTATCCCCAGGATGTCCACAGGGCTTCTCTAAAAAAAAAAATATATATATATATATATATATATATATATATATATATATATATATATGTATGTATTAGTATGTTATACAGGGAACACATTTTATATAGGAGTTGGTGGACAAAGATATTTGGTATTTAATGAGAGGACAACATTGAATTTAAAGAAATTGAAAATAGCAAAGCTATTATTTTATAATTGAATGCATTTTTGAATTTTGTCAGATTACTGACCTCTTTTTAAAAATAATCATGTGTTGTTTTGTATTAAAATGATAAGAATGATATAATTAAACCAGTATTGTTAACATATCAAGTATTAAGCATTTTTTACAACTAAAAGATTTCATAAGTTTCACAAAAAAAGTGAAGTAGTCAGGGCTGGGGTTATGGCTCAGTGGTAGAATGCTTGCCTAGCATGCACGAGGCACTAGGTTCAATCCTCAGCACCACATAAATGTAAAATAAAGATATTGTGTCCACCTAAAACTTAAGAATAAATATTTTTTTTAAAAAGTGAAGTACTTACTCCGACATATCCTGGCTGGATTAAGAGCCACCCATTCTCCATTTCTGCATTCCTTTATGATGGTGCCAAGGGTTCTGTAGCCAGGGCGGCATCTGTAGGAAGCCTGAGTACCCTCTGAATAAGGCTGGTCAGTCCAGGAACCAGACAGAATTTCTGTATCTTCTCTTGCAGGAGGTCCTTGGCAATCTGTAAATAATAAAAGCAAACATATGGTATGTTTGGGTTAGCTTTGCTTTTAAAAATATCTATATGGTTACTGATCCATCCATTATAGGAATGTGTGTCATGGGTTGATTGTGATGTGTCCCCAAAAGCTCACTTATAAGACAATGCAAGAAGGTTTACAAGAGAAATGAATGGGTTATGAGAGCTTTAACCCAATCAGTGAATTTATCTGTTGATGGGGGGATGGAGATTAACTGAGTGGTAGATAAAGGTGAGTAGGGTGTGGCTGGAGGAGATGGGTCATTAGAGTGTATATATTTTGTACCTGGCCAGTGGAGTCTCTCTCTCTCTGCCTTCTGATCATCATATGAGCAGCTTCCCTCTGTCACACTCTTCCCCCTGATGTTTCATCTCACCTCGAGCCCTGAGGAATGGAGCTGCCTATCTATTAACTGAGACTTCTGAAACTGTGAACTCTCAGATAAACTTTTCCTCCTAGACAATTGTTCTGGTCAGATCTTTTAATCATAGCAACAGAAAGCTGACTAGAACAGTGTGCATGTAAAACAGTGTGTGTGTGTGTGTGTGTGTGTGTGTGTGTGTGTGTGTGTTTAAAAGTAAATTGTGGGATTGAGAGGATTAAATGAATTAAATCCAAGTGAGAAAGCCCTATTTCATGCAAACATATGGTCTTTGGCTGTTTCTTACCTGGTTGTGACTGCCAGCTCTGGATATGGATTAATGATCAGAACTTGAATAAATAGAGGACTGGTAATGAAGAAAGGAAGAACCAGACGAACTTTGAGAGATAAAATTTTCTGAAACTTGTGTAGAATCAGAGTTCCTTGCAGAATCTTTGGACTGAAATTTCCCATATTCTCAGACAAAGAGTCCCACCAGCAAAAATGGCCTGCTTTAAGTACACAGTATTTTTATTGAACATATTTGCTATATTTGAAAATCACTCAGGATCAGATTTTAGAACAGGAGACAAAGCATCAAAGAAGCAGGTAAATTTATCAGTCTTTTGGGATAGAGGAACAAGATTCTAACCATGTTCTCAATTGAAAACATATGAGTGTGCATGCACACACACACACACACACAGTCCTCTCATTGCATCTTTTCATACCAGAAGTGGACTGACTCAAACTAAAGTGCAACCCAGGCCCAAATGAGTTTAATTAGATCAAAAGAAAGCAAACACTCTCTTTGTTGGGAGTAATTATGTAAACTTAAGTCATAACATTCCATCTCATGCAAAATGTGTGGACTCAAATGAAAATTAAAGCACACATGAAAGGACAAAAAGTATGTCCAGGAAGAGAAAATAAAGTTAGTAAATAGCAGACACTTAGCGCCTGAAGCTACAATGCTATCAATACCTTTAGAACAACTCTTTTAAGTATGTTAAAGAAACTATATAAAGAAGATGTAAAGGAGTAAAAATAAAAAGATAACCAAAACAAAATGACTCTAAAAATCATGTATTATTCTGTAAGTATAGAATAAATATGTGAAATAATGTCTCATGAGTCATATGGACACAGAGGGAAATATGTTAAACTTGAAGAAAGTCTCATGTAGAATCGCCACAAGTGAAATACAGAAAGACTAAAGTGCATAAACAAGAACAAATCAAACACAGTAAAAAAATGTGTCGTGCAGAATCTAGTGACACAACATATGAACAACTGGAGTTTCAAAGGAGGGAGAATTGACAGAAGCAGGTAAATTTATCAGTCTTTTGGGATAGAGGAACAAGATTCTAATAATAGCAGCTCAATTAATTGAAAAGATTCAATTAATAGCTCAAAGGTACCCAAAATTGATTAGAGAAATCAAAACATAAATGTAAATCTTGGCAAACTCCCCGAGTATATACACAAAGGAAACCTATATTCAGACTCTGCTAAAACACACACATCAAAAAACAAAAGCATGTAAAAAAGTGGATGTGGAACCGATGTGAATCTGCAATATGTATACGGGGTAAAAATGGGAGTTCATAATCTGCTTGAATCAAATGTATGAAATATGATATGTCAAGAGCTTTGTAATGTTTTGAACAACTAATAATAAAAAAAGTAAAAAGGAAAAAAATAAAAAATAAAAAATGAGCTTTAGTGTAGAACAGACCTATGCTGAAGACCAACTTCCACCAGTTAAAAAAAAAAAGCAAAAAAACTTAAACACATACAGAAAAAACAAAAACATTTTATTTTGAGAAATCAGTGTCTTGCATTTCTAAAATTAGGTACTTAAAATTACATTTCTAAAATTAGTTAGGTGCTTAAAATTATATGTCAGTTGAGAATTAGTAAAGAAAAATATATTTTGGGCTCACTGACTCAGAGGTTTAGTCCTTAAAACTATGAACTCAGAATAAATTATTTCTTTGCTAAGTATCTGTTGTCAGGTAATTTGGTCACAGAGGTGAAAAGCTGACTAACATACAAATTGATACCGAAAAGTGGGGTTGTTGCTGTAAGTAACCTGACCATGTGGTTCAGAAGCCTTTTGGAGTTTGGATAAGTTTGGAGATGGAGGCTGGAGAAAACTTCGAATACTAAAAGCAAAGCTTATTAGGTAATTCTGATGGGAGCTGAGAAGATTAGAATGTTGATAAAAATGTGAACAGTAAAAAGACTATGCTCATGAGGTTTCAGATGGTAATGAGGATTCCTAGGAATTGGATTAGAGACAAGTCACATTAGATACAGTCACATGACTGCAATTTGCCCATGACCTGAAACTTTGAGTCTCAATCTATAGTTGATGGACTAATTAATCTGGGGGAGGAAATTTCAAGGCAGCACAAATTGAGAAAGTTGTATGGGTATTGCTGGTGGTTTTTTATCCAAATTTACTGTGATAATGAGAAGCAAAAAAGAAAACAGGAAAGATTGAAAAAGTTTTCAGTTTGGCCAAAGAAGTAGATGTGGTTGCTGAAGAGATTACCACCACTAAAGAGAAGCTAAGTATTTTATCCAGAGATAATAGAAAAGATTCCTTGAGGGCACCTTAGAAAACTACACCCATTGAAGTCTTAAGGGTGTAAAATAAAAATTCATTTGAAAAGAGATCATAGGAGCACCCTGCCTCCATAAGAGGGACCTATGAAGTTGCTTCCTCAGGATTCCCTAAATAATGTTCAGTTGTCTAGACTCAAGGGCCCCTGCAACCATAGTCAAGGAGCCCAGCTATTCCTTGAGTTGGCAACAGGAGTTGGCATCATCCATGTGGTGCTAGTTGTTCAAGAATGTATGATTCTGGAGTTGGGGATTGTGGAGGCCTCCACTGAGATTTCACAGGAAGTCCTGGGGGGCCAGGCAAAGTGCAGAAGGGTCAGAATCCCTTCAGGTAGCCCCTGAGACAGAAATGCATAAAAATGTGAGAATGAAGCTAAAGCTGCAGTGGAGACCTCAGGAATTAAGAGATTCTAGTAACATGGAACATCTGCCAAGGAAAGCTGTAGGAAGCAATGGGCAGAGCCATCCAAGAGAGAAGCCATGTTGGATGCAGTGCACAAGGCCAAAGGGGTGGGGCCACAGAAAAGGGATTCATATCTCACCACAATCTATGTAAGAGAATTCACATTCTCTTAAATCTTCTCTAACTATCCACTATATTTGACACTCAGTTGTTTAACTCACTAATATTTTGTGCCATTAATCTACAATTATATTTGTTTATTTTATCAATATTTTCATTTTTTCTTTTATTTTTTGAAAAAGTGATAGATTAAAACAAAAATTACACCTAATAACAGTTTACAATGTGGTATTTCCCTGTTTGTATAGTCTGTATAATGTTTAAGTCAAGCTAAACATCTATCTTCTCAATGACCTATCATTTTTTCTTGGTGAAAACATCTTTTTAATTGTTACTTATTTGCACATATTTATGGAGTCTTTATGATGTTTTAATGCATGTATACTTGGCACAATGTCCAAATCAGGGCAAATATCTTTCTCCTCAAACATTTATTTCTTTGCAGTTAGAATATTCAAAATCCTTTCTCCAGTTCTTGAAATACACAGTACATTATCATAATTGATAATTACCCTACATACAATAGAAAACTGAATATTTTAAACATTATGATTAAATATCAAAATATACAGTTTAATAAATAAAACAAATTTCAAAAACAATACATATATTAGAGTATTTTAAAAATAAAAAAAAAACCTACTCAAAATTAAACTGAAAAATTACATTCTTCTTTCCAGTAAGAAAAGCACTAATACTACCAAAAATCAAATGTTAAAATGAAAAAAAAAAACATTCATTATCTTAAGAACAGTCATTAATATGACTGTTACTTGATAGGTTTATTATGCAAAAGTAATAAAAGTGATGAAAGTCAAATTAAACCCTGAATGAGTTCACCCTGGTGAAGCCAGAATTAGCCAGGCAGTCAACATAGATAGGTAAATCAAGTCAGGTTGGATCAAGGAGGCCAATTTGAAGTTGGAGTCTGCCCACCAGGGACTTCAGAGCCCTTCCTCCACCCTTATCATGATAACCTGCCCTGTTTCAACCTGTTGCTAAGGTAATCTGTCCCAAGAATTGTCCCTCCCTACAGGGAGTTGTAAAAGCTGTTAATTAATGTGTCCTGGGCTGCTTCATCTGGCCAACCCCCCTGTCCATCTGCTTCTTACATTTTGGTCATTCCACCTGAGCATCTCCTGGGCCTAGTCACATACACAGAAAGGAGAGAGATAAGGGGAAGAGAGCAGGAGAACAAAGGAAGCCTAAGACATTAAAAAAAAAAAAAGGCAGAATACCCTCACTTCTTAAGATACCAGGATACCAGCCATGGCCCCCTTCTTCCTCCTGGGAGAAGTCTATGTTACCCCTTTCTAAATAAACCCTGCTTTATATGCTTGCCTTGGTGTGCTTCTCCAATGTTATACTTTAATGTGTGAGGAGCAGGATTCCTCTTGGGTAACTGGTGGTATCACTGGTATGAATGCCTAGCTTCATTTTAAAGAATACACAGAAAACCAAAGAAA